ACCACCACCGAGCACGTCGAGCGCGACACTTCCACCCTGGCTGAAACCCATGACAATGAGGTGGCTGTCCGGACACCTCGCAGTGTAGTTCCTCATCTGCTCGGCGCCATTCATAGCCCCCTCGTGCGACGATATGCACCATCGCTCTCCGCCGTTCATGGCCCAGTACTGCACATCCTCATATCCGCAGGCCTTGGGGTTTTCCTTGGTGTTGAGCGCATTGCACACTTTGCCGACTGTCTCGATGACGTGGCCCGGGTATGGCGAGGTAGAGCCGCGGGCGAGGAAATGATGGTAGGTTTGGCATTCGTCGGTCTTGAGGGCCTCAAACTGGGGGCAGTCTTCGAGCTTGGTGCACACGGCGAATGCGGTGGAGGCGTACAAAAGCGCCGAAAGCGCTATCCGGGGTATCATGGTGAATGTGGAGAATGAGAGGAGGGAGCAACGCAAAAATGAGTGACTCGTCAACGACGGCAATAGCGGCAAGTATGTCGGGGGCGGATTATCGAACAAGCAGGGAACACGGCAGACTCTCGCTCAAACACACGGCAAAGGGAAAGTCGGCGGAAGGTGACAAGATGGAGAAGCCGTGGAAGCAACGTCGAAGATGAGGTGGGGACTAGCCATCGATCTCGTTTCACCTCCTGTCATTCCTGGGGAAAGGCATGCGCGTACCACAACGTGCCAAGCAGGGAGTCGACATGCTTGACGCTCCTGCGTGGCCCCGAAAGGTTTGAGAATGGTGATGATAGTCGTAGGCCAAGCTTTTTGGCGCCGTCCCGCCCGGAAAGAACGGCTATTAGGGCCCCCGTGCGCCTCACAGCCGCCTCACAGCCACTCCTGCGCCGCACCTTGGGAACCTGCAGAGGGTACAGTGCGTGCGGAAACGCGAGACATCCTTTGCGATAAGAGAGAAGAAGAAGAAGAAGAAGAAGCGGCACAGTGTAAGATCGCGATTGTGGCCGAGGTCTGAGGATCGGTGGATCGAAGATCGCGTATGAGGAAGCGACAGATGGGAAAATGAAGGCGCATGACTCAGCTGACGCGTAACCCGAAATGCGTGCCCACTCGATAGGGGCCTCTCGTCAACTCCTACTCCATGCGACCAACAACCGACAATACCCACGACTTCATCCCACACTGACTTCAATATCTTACTCTCGTCTGACCTACCTGCTCCAGATATTCCGGAGAGATACTCGGTCTTCCCCACGTCTTACTGACTGAATTAACAGCCTTTCTGGCCAACAAGGTCTATTCCAAGAGCGACACGATTCATCTTTCCAAAGCGACATGCCAGCAGCAGAACACTGCGTCTTCCTATGCGACTTCCCTTGCGACATGCGACTCCACAGATACATCCAAATCGGTACCTTGCAGCGGAACCGGAGTAATGATTGATGTGCTGCGACCCATGGAAACCGTACTGTTGGCTATTTCGATTCAACACCTTATGCGACCATCTACCGAAATACACGGCACTGTGTCTTCGCACAGCGACCATTGAAGGAGAAATCAATTCTCGACCGGGTTCTTCATCTCGTCCACGGCCTCTAGTATGGGATGAAAGTGCCTCTGGACATGTCTGCGAACCTATCAACACTCGAAGCGGACATTTGCCGTCCAAGTTTATCGCATAAGACTGGCCTTGGCTCTCCCAACTCCTCCGCCATGCCAACCGTCCGTGCACTCCGGTTTCCAAGTGCCTCACTTTCACTGGATGTAACATGATGAGATTATGGACTGCAGCCGATGTTTTACCGCGCGAAATTTTCGCATTCACTGCCAATGCGACGCGGCATGTCCTTGTCGCGGATGGATCCTTCGGGTTCCTTCCCATTTCGTCCCGGAAATGGCCTATACACTGGATCAACGTCTGTCCATCGTCTGAATACTCGGAGGGTTCCTGTAATCTGGGACACGCTCACACCTACACATGGCTATGTGAGGACTTGGGCTTGATGGACTTCATCGCAACATGCCCAGACCGATGACGACAGCGGCCAAGCTGTCGGGTGTGACACCGGCCTGCTTCGGCGCGGTTCTCGCGTTGTCAGATGCGGCTCTCGCTAGCGCGGTCGCTCCCGACGTGGATGACCATCAGACGTCACCAAGACCCTTCTCCGCATCATGTTGCATCGTTTGATAGGAACGGCAGCGTGGGAAGGCTGCGCATCGTCCGGAAGGACCCAGCATGCCGCACTTGCGCGTTTCGCGAAACACCAGCTCGGTTCCTTTACTAAGAGCTTCATCTATACGGCATCTAGGGAGGCCCACATACCTGAAGTGGATAAAAGTACCATTCCGTCTCCACGCCTCCGCGAGACCCTGCCTCCAAGACCAGCCATCATTGGGTGCACAGTCCCCGTTAAAGTGCGGACACATTCTACGATACGCTACTACCAGCTACTGTCTTGGTCCGCGTGCGATGTGCGTTAATACGTAATTCTCCATGTCCTTGGTTTCCTCCACGCTGCGCTGTGACCAGTCTATCGTTCTTTCCCGCGTCTATTTATCCTCTCAACTTGGCCCTCCTCAAACGTCTCCATTGACAAGTTCGTTTCTTGGTCGCATCTTCCTCGTCACTTCGATTCCCCCGTCTCGACCACACTCACTCGGTACATGCAGGCGTAAGTGCTTGGTCTCCCTCTAACCATGGATCACAAAGACGTCCCTTCTGCCCACGGCAACCTTCCCATGCAACATACACACGACCTCGACAACAAGCCCAAAGCTCTCAATGATCTGCCCGTATCTGCCCAGCGACCTACAGTAGCCCTTGCAGCAGACCCTACTCACGATCCGGAAGACCCTTTGCGACAAAAGAAGCACGGAGACCCCGAAAAGCTCGAAACCTCCTCCGAGCACGACACGAACCTAGGCGACGTATCCGATATCCAAAATGCAAGCAAACGCCCCACAAGCAGTGCAGGAACGAAGAAACTCAACACAACACAAACTGTCATCATCTTCATGACCAATGAGATCGGCATCGGTATCTTGTCATTGCCAGCCGCTCTGAACACCCTTGGGTTCTTCCCGGGTATCATTGCCATTGTCGGTATGGGGATGCTTAGCTTGTACACTGCCTACAATCTCGTTCAGTACTGGCGCAAGTATCCTTACATGCTCAACATTGTCGACTACGGACGCGTCCTCGGCGGTCCCTGGCTCGAAGCTGTCTTTGCCATTGGCTTCCTCATCAACATGGCTCTCATCAGCGCATCGGCAGTGGTCACTATTTCGATCGGTCTCAACACCGTCAGCGAACACGCGACCTGCACGGTCGCCTTCTCGGTCGTTGCGGCCATTGCCATGTGGGCCATGTGCGTACCGCGTAGTATGCGTTTCGTGTCATGGGCATCGTGGCCCTGCACCATCTCCATCTTCTCGGCCGTCATGTTCGTCATGATTGTGCTTGGTGTTCAGGGTCCCCGCAATGCGGGAGCACCTCTCAACCTGAAAGCTATCGGAAGTCCCACCTTCACTGAAGCTGTCGCGGCGTTCCTGAACATCGCCTTTGCTTTCAGCGGCAATCAAGCGTTCCCGACTGTCCTTGCTGAGATGGAGGACCCCTCTCGCGACTACCCACGCGCTGTCACCATTGAGAAGTGCGCCACTACCACTATCTACTGCATCGTCGCTGCGGTCGTCTACGCCCTTTCCGGTGAATCCGTCGCTTCGCCAGCGCTCGGATCTCTCCAACCCTTGATGGCAAAGGTCGCTTACGGAATCATCTTTGTTGGACTCCTTGGCACTGGTTTGGTGTTCGGCATGACCGCCGCGCGCTACCTGCACGTCTTCTTCCTGCGCGAGATCGGCACTCGCCAGGCCAAGAAAGATGGAAGCTTCAACGCTGAAGTCTCATCTAGCGCGTCCGGGTCGTCGCGTGGCCGCCGCGCTTCCATCGCAATGGGTGACGTCGGTAACAAGACTGAATGGGCTGTCTGGATCTTCTCGGTTACCCTGTTCTGGGTCGTCGTGTGGATCCTCGCCAACGCCATTCCGGTGTTCAGCTCCCTTCTCAACATTTCCGCCGCGCTTCTGCTATCATGGTTCACCTGGGGTGTTACTGTGCTTTTCTGGTTCCATCTCAACTGGAACGGCAAGTGGCGATCAAGTACAAAGAAGCTTGCGACGGCCGCTCTCAACGTGTTCATCATGTCGGTCACGCTCTTCATGATGGTACCTGGCATGTACGCCAGTATCCGCGCTTTGATGAACACGTTTGCCACAACAGATGTTAACGGCGCATTTACATGTGCGGACAACAGCATCTTGTGAAGACTTCACGTTCTTCTGGATATATGAATTAAGCTTTTACCTTCACAGGCTACGAAGTAGTCCACCTCAAGATCTCGCTTTGTTCCTTTTACAGCCTCGTCACAGTGTCCAGTTCGCCTAGAGATGCTAACTCGACGCGTCGCAAAACGAAAAACATCGAGAGTCATGCGCGTTGTTGTCTTTCAGGAACTGTCGTGACAGGTGAACGCGACTGCCTTTTCGGGAAATAGGTCACGGCCACCACCGAGGAACGACCGCGACTACCAACGACAACCGCTGACCCTACATTTAGGTCCTAGTATATGCCTCCAGAAAATATCAAGACGTTCCTTGCACTTCTGACACTGGTTTGGCAGGTCTCTGTCGTGAGTACCCACATAACAGAACGTGGTCGAGGCATGACATCACCTGCGCATCATCCCGGCATCCACTTCAAACATCACGCCGTTTTGCCGCCTATACATTAGGGTCTTATGGATCTATTCCCGAACTTGTGGTACCCATGCAGGAACAACCGCTGCGTATAGGCCGGAAATGAATGTAAGAATCATCGCCGCATCATACAAGGTGCTCGCCATGATGCCGACGACTTGCCGTGTCGTCGATCTACATGCTGCGCGAGTATAACAATAGATATCAGGACGTGCTGTCTCGATTTCAGGTCCAAGTAGGATTCTTTTGTCGTACGAGAATCCCAGTACTATCGAATCGCAAAGATGCAGCACGTCCTTCAAGCTGGTCTATCCTCTGGGATGTCAGCCGTCACTGGTATCCACAGCGGCAAGCACACCAAGCCTAACCCAGTCGACCCTTCCTTTGATGGTCTCGCAGCTGTCATGCCAGTAGACTGGATCCCAACCGCCGACAAAAAGGTCACATACAAGGGCAAGAACGGAGATGTCCACGCTCCGCAACTGTGCATCGGTGCCTGGCCTTGGGGCGACACTTCTACCTGGCACTGGAAGCCCGAGGAAGAGCCCCATGTCGCCGCAGCATGGAAGCACTGTGTTAGCAAAGGGGTCAACTTCATCGACACCGCCCAAGTCTACGGCACAGGCATGAGCGAGACCATCTGCGGAAGACTAGTCAAGGACATGCCAAGAGACAGCTTCGTCATGCAAGACAAGTATTTTGTCGTACCACAAGCAAAAGATGTCCTCCACCCCACCATGGCGCCCCTCAAGAAGCTCGAAACCTCACTCAAGAACTTCGGCCTCGATTACATCGACATTTACCTGGTACATGGCCCCATTCACCTTCAAACCATCCCCATGATCGCCAAAGGCATGGCCGAGTGCGTGGAAAAGGGCATGACCAAAACCGTCGGTGTCGCAAACTATAGTCTCGCAGACATGATCAAGATGCAAGACGAACTGGCCAAATACGGCGTCCCACTCGCCATCAACTAAGTCGAGTTCTCCGTCCTCCGCCGCGAACCAGAGCTATCTGGCCTCCTCCAAGCCTGCAAAGAACGCGGAATCGTCTTGCAGTCCTATTCCTCGCTTGCTCAGGGCCGTCTGACTGGCAAATACACGGCTGACAACCCGCCGCCAAAGTCATACCGCTTCTCCAGCTACGATATGAAGGACATTGAGCCTGTCAACGCGGTGCTGAAGAAGATTGCGGAAAGGCGTGCTGTACCGCAGAGTGCTGTTGCGCTGAACTACAACATGTGCAAGGGTATTACGCCGGTATGTGGTGTGAGGAAGGAGGAGCAGGCTGTTAGCAATTGTGCGGCGCTGGGATGGAGGTTGAGTAATGAGGAGATTAGGGAGATTGATGGGGTTAGCTTTCAGGGGCATACTACGAGTTTGTGGCAGCAGGGTTAGATGGAAATGGGCGACGCTGGTCCGCAACTGAATGAGCAATGACATAGCTCCGTACGAGTGTGCTGAAGTATTGAAATTCTACGCCTATCTCAGTAGCGAAACGAAGGCCTACTTCATGTGCATGTCGTTGCTGAGCAGTTAAACTCGGGTGCTATCCGACCTTATCACAGAGGCTACATACTGTATCAAGAACCCTGGAAACCGATTTTTGTATACCCATGCCTTGTATTCCTTCTTGTAGCGGTGACAGTGAGCAGGGATGCCGGCCCGGCGGTTGGACTGAGTGATATTGTCCATCCACGGCTCAGATGCCTCGGACTTGACTATCATATCCACGTCAAGCTCCTTGCTGTAAGAGTGAATCCATAATTCCTCCACAGATTTCCCGAGAAACTTGCTCCATCGGCGCTGAGAGGTAGTGGAACTGTTCAAGTCGGCAGATCGAACTCGAGAGTGCTTGATTAGTTCTTGGAACTGCGTGTCGAGATCCAATGCTCGCTTGCTAAGCGTTCTTGGATAGTAGTACGAGCGGAACAAGTGGTTGACAGGGCGGACAGAGCTGATGCCGCTAAGCTTGACGGCAAATTCCGGGTGCCTTTTGCATACTCGAATAAGCGGAGCTATGTTAACGCGAGGGAAGGTTTCATCGCAGCGGAAGGTGAAGGAGGTACTACCGACCAAGGAGTGTCCTTTATGCGGTAACAGAAATGTCTCCATGTAGGCGGCGAGGTATCTGAGAGGGACTCGATGTGTGAAGTGCTGGTATTGCAATGGAAGCGCTTCTTGCCGAATCTGGTAGTTGACCTGGCAGAGATGGAAGTAGGTCCGATATCCGATCTCATGCACCGAATGTGATCCGCGAGTAAAGCTCTCGTGTCCAATTTTTTTGCAGTATGAGTATATCGTGTTGCGCAATTCTGCAGTGAATGTTAGCGCACTGGTATTTGTCGACCTAAAGAGTTGCTGCTTTACCTCCGGGTAGATCCATAAAGCCGAGCTTTGTCGCATCTTGTTTGGTACCAAGTCGGCGCAGTGAGTGCGTGTTTTCTGTCTGCATGGCGACTGCGAGATGGTGCGGGTCGAGGCTGAAGTTTGGTTGTAGTTGTGTGCTGTGGTAACCGGTGGGAGTTGATACGTATGACTGAAGAACCTGGTGAGAGAGTGACCTCGGGGGCGTCCGCCATAATGCGCTAGTCCATATTGGTAAGTTTATTCACACATTCGCGCATTGGTCGAAGGGAACGCTTCGTCACTATGATTACGCAGACTCATAATATGATTGGTCTACTGTCTTGGTCGTGATACCGCCGAACCATGGACGGACGCAATGATGGTTCGTGGTAGCGGACCTGCCGAAGACATAGGCGTACACCATCCTAGATAAAGTCAACATGCACCCTCCAATATTCACGCCACAACCTTCCACATTCAACAAATTCCGACGTCGATCGCACCGTTAAACACACATCATGCTGACCGGCACTACTGGGTGTTTAGTAATACTACCATGGCTGATCTCACTTGCCGCATGCGACATTCTTTTTGGTAGGCAATCCATACCAGACTTGAGAAAATCAGATCATGAGTACTTGTACGGAGATCTTCATCATTCAGAAGACGCAGCAAATATCATCAAAGACATGTTCGAAGCACCGAGCCAACTCACCTGGCTCTTCATCTCCTTCAGCCTCATCGGACTCTCCACCTGCTATTCGCGCTCATTCGAGAAAATGAAGCACCAGCTTCTTCACTGCCTCTTAGCTACCAGCCTCATCGTGCGATTTTTAGCCATATTCTCAGGTATGCTGCATTTGAAGCTGCGATCCCTAGACTGGATTATTCACTGGCTTGCAATATCACCTTTGAACATCCTCGTCCTTACAGATTTCATTGACCTCCGTGCTTGGGAATGTACGTCTTTGGGAACATTCCTCAACAATGTTTGGGAAGGCGTGTCTGGTGATCCCGCAGCAACCGACCGCAACCATATCGTCAAGCCTCGATTCGACTGGACGATGATCTGGAATACGACAGAATTGGTATCAACCCAGGACGCGATCATTCGACTAGCCTACTACCACCTCTTCGAGAACGCGGTACGCGTCCTGTGCCTCCGATACTATCACCCACACAATGAAGGCGCGCCATACACTACGTATATCAACAACTCGGAGATCTTGACCGGGTTACTGGCGCTCCAGGTGGCGGCTTGGACGTACTGCAAGATGCGTGAGAACGCCAAAATGCTGGGAGACGTTGAGAAGGGAGCTGCTGCCCTGCAGATGGGTCCAATCGTTGCAGATCGTCTTTAGTCCCGGTGGATCGTGGCCTGCCAGTATTTGTTGATCGTCTGGTATCGTATATTCATTTTCCCGTATGTATGTCGCATATCGAAGATGGCCCGAGAATATTTGATGAGGTGCTCCGGCCTGACAGTTCCCGTGGTGGTGGATCGTGGTTGGCAATGACGTCGCGCGTTGGACATTTCCGCAAATCGTTAGGCTGCGATGTCTGGTCAAGCATGCACGTACCCGAAGAGCTTTGCGTTAGACAATAAAGGTATAGAGAATCAAATAATTCCGCCATGGACGCTCAAGTGACCGAAGCTTTTTCTTCGGCGATTTTCGCTAGTCCGAGATGAGCCCATTGACCGCGTGTGAACGGGTCACAGACAAACTTTCATGGCAACCTTAATCGACATGTAAGTTGCGCCAGACACATCACCTGCGCGCACCGTCCCGGCGACTACCGGCAGGCCGGACAAGATGCGGGCATGATGCCAGGCGCTGGAATTGTGAATCTGCCGCTGCAAGGCAGATAAGATAAGCCTCATCGAAAGTGGGGATCGGAGGCGCTGATCAGGGGTAAAGCACGTGCCCCACCCCGGTCATCTCAGTGTGATAGCAATCTTACCGACGACTTCATTCGCCCAATGCGTTTCATCGACCATTGAAAGGGTTTAGCCTTTGTTCTCACTCGATGCCGCAATCCTGACTGAAGAAACATATGAGCTAGCAGGTGCCCCAATAGACGGTTGTGCCGGTCTCTTTACTTTTGTGCGACTTGCCCACAGTACTTATTCCTAATACCCACGCACTCGCCGTGGTGGTGTGGAAGAGCAGCCATGTCGTTTTTGGGCGACCTTTTCAGTTGTGGTCGGGCGAGACGGACGCGTGAGACGTCAACAGAGCCGCTTGAAACAAACGACGCGACGCCCGAGCCCAGCAACGCGCATGGAACTACTGCAACCACCCTTCACCCCACGATTGAGAAGCCGAGCGACATCACCGCGCCCAATGAAGACCGTTTTGAGCGCGCCGCGAATCCAGTGAGCGCAAGTGTACGGTCTAGTGTTGAGAGTCGCGGCAGCAAGAACGATGATGTCGAGCTGGCTGTCATTTCGGAGAAGTCGAAACCAAGTGCAGGATGGATGGTCGAACAGAGGGTCCTAGTCACAGCTACATCCGCCACAAAGCAAGACACATCGTCAGTAGCCGAGGAGCAGGAGCCTTCGCAGCAACTCGACCAAAAGCACGAGGAACACCATGCTCGTGCAGTCACCCCGCCTGTTCGCTGCGCCACCCCTGAACAGGAGCCATGGAACTCGACTCCCGTCGCCTATACCCAAGTCGAGCCTGAAGTCCACGACATTGCCGCCGCTGCGCCTGTGCGATGTGCGACACCTGAACCAGAAACCCGTGCGATCACCCCCGAGCAGCAACCCGAACCGAGTACCCCGTCTGTACACGATGAGACACCAGAACTGGCTATCGATGAAGTCACATCCACCAGTTCCGACGTTGACGATGTTGTTGAAGACATCCCGGCACCCAAGAAGACCGCACCACTTTGCTTCCTCGACATGCCGCCAGGTATGTTACTCCCTAGCCCATAAATGCACACACGCGCTAATATCACACAGAGATAAGGAACCGCATCTACGAGCGCATGAGCGAGGAGGTGCCCATCAGGATGTGCCGTCACGATGATCCGGCACTGGTCCAACGCGAAGGCGAAGCCACCCCGACCAAGCGGAGACAATACTACAACCTTACGCAGGTATGCCACCAGCTTCGCGAGGAGTTCCTACCGATATACGCGGAGAAGGCACACTACATCATCGACCTGTGGAGCCAGAAGTCGAACCTGGTCAAGATTGATTCGCTCAAGGGCCATGTCTCTTTGGACATCGATGCTGCGTGCTTCGACATGGAGCCCATTGACCTGTTGCCGCTCATCCGATGCCTTGTCCGCACGCGTCGCACCGATTGTCGTTTCACCTCCACAGAGGGAGTTGTCTTCCGCAGCATCTCTGAGATCGTCGGCGAGCTTAACAAGCTGCTACCAAACCCTGCCAACAGCAACCAAAGCTGGCTTACCGCAGTCAACGGGCCGATGAAGAGGATCGACTTGCACCTGTTTCCCCACGACGACATCCGACAATACTACCGATTCCGTGGTGCCGAGCCCCTGCTGCGCGTAGTCTACCCATCGGCCGTGAGTGAGGAGTGGATGAAGCGGGCCTCCAAGTCTGAGGGATACGAAGCGTACTTGCAAAAGACTGGATTGGACAAGTTCGAGATGCACGTCGTTATCGGCCACGCTTCTCGACGGACTACAAATGAAGGTCGCCTGCCGCTTGATTGGCGCATGAGCTACCAGCTATCGAGGCACTCCATTGACAGCCGCGCTCCCCGCATGTCTATGGATATCGCAGCTGCTCGCATGTCCATCGACAGGGCGCCTCGCATGTCATAATGACGAATTGATAATGTTTGGGGCGAATGCGCATACTGCGCTTAGTGCTTACGTCCTGCACTTCACGTCAGAGCTGTATGCCATCTTGGGCATGGCTATTTATGATTGTAACAGGGCGCAGCGCTCATTTACTTGTAATGTTTTCTAGGGAGGGCAATCTGTTTGTAAGCGCATGGCCGCCCAGTGACGAACCACGCTCATCTGCAGTCACTACGGGCGGCGTCATGGCATCATACCCTTTTATGTTTTCTATACCCCGAAATCGATCAAAAGTTTTTTCCTGCCTTCGCTCTGAACATCATGACCGACTCAAGTACTGCTAAAATATCGTCCGCCCCGAGATGCGTGCCATCTTACGACACCAGTGATCCACTCCAGCAAGATGTTACGCGCATTCTCCAAAGCTTCAAGAATGATATCCTCGGCATCACATTTCTACGTAGCGACGGCGTTCTACGCTCGCTGACTGCAGATCGTAAAGTGCTCTCAGCAGAAGGACCCAGTAAGCATCCTATCTACTGGGTCGTTTCAGTACACTTGACTTCATCGAAGCTTTTCTGAACTGCTTTACATAAGACTTCAAGGCGCAAATGACGAACCAAGTATTCGCCGACGGTAGCGAAACGCCTCAAGAGAGGTGGCTTGAGCAGGATGCAGGGACTCTGCCAGAGCCGCTGTCACAGCAGGAGATTGACAGGGTCAAGAATCAGCCTGACGACCGGAAGGACTTGCTACTGACGCGTATGCGTGAGGATGAGAAGTGAGTCACGACGCCTTATTCTGTGGAATCCTGTAGGATCAACGCTGACAACTTGGAGTTTGTTGGACGTCAACGGCGTGCTTGCCTGAGTGTCAGGCTGGGAATGCGTTGCGAGCTGCGATCAGATGGCATGCGTGACGGCGTCAAAGTAAACCTTGTGGCGCTCAAAACCAAGCTTCCTCGTACGTGTTGACACAAAAAGCCAAACTTGTTCGGATGCAAACCATATTTGACTTCGCGCCGAAAAAAAAGCATGGCATTCGTAGATTACGACAGGATCGCCAGCACACAGCGGGCATGTGCCGGGACGCCTGAAAGTTTCAGAAATCTGTGGCCCAAAGCATTTGTCGAAACCTTCTTATCTTGTCCTTCAACGAGATGTAGCGCATGTTCGGCGTGGACTTGTACCAATTGTGTCGAGAAGAAGACGTTGAAATTGTGCATCACGACGGCATGTGCCTATCATGAGGGGCGGAGTCACAAGACACGGGGTCTGGCTCTGCAAACTTCACCAATCGGCATAACCTCGGCCCGCGAAATAGACCTTCCCTTTCGCCCTCATTCATTACTCCTGCAAGCCCATCCATCTTCAATTCTCATCATGGTCCCCGTTCCACATCTGCACAAAGTTTCTCCGCACCACTTTACCTCTACGATGGCCCATGATGCCTTCTCACTTGTGCGCTCGGCGGTGCTAACGCCTACCAAGCTTCCTTCTTAATTTCGAGAATTTCCCCGGATTTGCTTCGAAACACCGAAAGCCAGCCCCACCAATGATATGGTGCGCACGCGGGTACTAGACGTGCTAGACTCGGAGTAGTACTACAAACGCTGGCCAGATATATACCCATGCTCGGCTCCCGTACAATCAGCACCCAGCACTACTCCGCAAGGCGTAGGTGCTCTATCCTGATGGCGGAGCAAGCTCAATCTGGTAAACTAACGTGGAGTCTACAATACTACCACCGGGAAAGATGGTATTGTAGTGGTGTGTAGTAGCCATCTGCGCGCACACGTGGGAAAGTAAGTACATTGCTATAAAGCCGTCTTGTACAATGAATCCACATGGGGTTTCTAGCTCGTCGTCCTTCCTCAGCCAGTCTTCAAGATGCGGTTCTTAGCGACCGTTACTGCTCTGCTTCTGGCCCCTACGGCTGTTTTTGCAGCTTGGGGCTACACCGATGACGGCAAAAACTATGTTATCGATACGAACGCGAATCTCGTCGTCAAGGTCAGCAAGTCAAACGCTGACATGACTTCGATCAAGTACCGTGGCGTTGAGTACAACGGCCAGAATGGCAAGAATTCGCACGTGGAATCTGGCCTCGCACCCGGCACTGTCACCATTCAGCAATACACCAACGTCATCAAGGTGACGATGAAAGTGGGAACGCTCGTTCACACTCTCGTCTTCCGCTATGGCAACCCCAACGTCTACATCTTCATGAACAAGAAAGATACCAGCATCACTGTGTCCCGATACATCCTTCGCATCCCGCCGAACATCTTTACCAACAACATCAACGAAGACACGGACTGGGTGCCGGATGGTGCGACTGCCATCGAGTCTGGTGACATCAATGGACTCAACGGTCAGACATGGTCCAAACATTACTCCGGCAAGTTGTATGGCCGTACTATGGACTACGATTGGGTTGGGTACACCAATCGAAATGTCGGCATGTACATGATCAGGTCGAATCATGAGAAGGCTTCGGGCGGGCCTTTCTTCCGAAGTTTGGTGCGCCGCGGAGGTAGTGGTGGTCCAGATCTTTATGATATCTACCACTACAACATGGGTACGTGAACTCACTCTCGGCCTAGACCAAAACATCTGTTAATGTGTTACAGGTCATACTGATGTGATGCGCTTTGGCCTGCAAGGTCCCTCCGTCCTCCACTTCACGGATAGTGGTGCCGCACCGAGCACCGCACTCTTCGCTCGCAACGCTAACTGGGACTGGATGGACTCCCTTGGAATCGATGGCTGGGTTCCGGCTAGTCAACGTGGTGCCGTCGCTGGTGTTGGTTTGGCCAACGTAAAGAACGGTTACCAGTATGTTGTCGGTCTGAAGAGTGCCCAGGCGCAATACTGGACAATTGCATCATCCAGCTCTTGGAGAATCAGCAAGATTCTACCAGGCTCGTACACTTTGACTGTATACAAGGGTGTAAGTGAAGCCATACATCAGCACTTTGTTCTGACGTGAACTCACCCGATCTTGCAGGAACTCGAGGTTCACACTAGCACTGTTACCGTCACTGCTGGAGGCACCGCAGCGCTGAACACGATCACTTGCAACGACCCGTCGGACACGGCTGTCATGTGGCGAATTGGCGAATGGGACGGCACGCCTAAGGGTTTCCTGAACTTCGGCGACAGCCCCATGAAGCCTACCTACATGCACCCATCTGATTCGCGCCTCGCCAAATGGGATGCTAGCAACTATATTGTGGGTACCAGCTCCGCTGCCAACTTCCCCGGCTACATGTGGAAAGACATCAATAACGACCACCTCGTCTACTTCCGCCTCAGCGATGCGCAACTAACCAATGGCGCAAAGATCAGAATCGGTGTCACAGAGGGCATGTCTGGTGGAAGACCGGCTATTGCCGTGAACAGCTGGACCGCTACCTTACAGTCCGATAAGGGCCAGGGCGATACCAGAAGTCTGACTGTTGGAACGTACCGCGGCAACAACTACGTTTATGAGTACAGTGTGCCGGCAAGTGCGTGGGTGAAGAGCGCGAGGGAGTACCAGATACTGAAGATCTCTGTCATTTCTGGAAAGACGTCTACGGGTTATTTGAGTCCCAGTATCAGTCTCGACGCGGTTGAGATGATCGCGGCCTAGACAGCTTACTCTTCTTCTTCTCTCTCTATGACTTGCGCGTGGAATCAACATACGTAGGGAAGTAGCGCAGAAGCAGCAAATGCGTAATGTCGTCGAGCTGGTGTATTCTGGTTTCAATCATCGCATCGCGCTATTGTATCAGCCCTGTCTCTAATTTAGGTATGTATTCACGCGCTTCTCTCATAGATAGGGTCACATGTCTGGTAAGTAGCATAACCCTTACTTCGGTCACCTGTGTCACTATCTAATATTGACCAGCCACAACCCCCATGTCCAACGCTATCTCTCCTACGCGCCTGCCTGCGCGCCTGGCAGAAAGCTCAGATGAAGAACTAGAAGTTTGTGCCCCGCTACAACACCCGTCCCGACACTCAAGGTATCGAAGCATCTACGCGGATGCAACAAGTAGTGAGGTTGCCCGACGGGACTGTCATTGCGCAGACAGAAATCGGTTACTATCCTCCAATGACAATTCAGAGTCCTCGGTGTCCCCCGTTTATGCAGTATGGGTATCAGCAGACACCAATGGATATGGCATATGGCTCCCCAGTGCCTCAAGGAGGTGTCTATGGCTACAACGCCCCCGCCTACATGACGCCATACCCTCCAATCTTCTCGACACCTTACCATGTGCCGCAGTCGTTCCCGCATCCGGATTTGACCACCAGAGTGCGCCCTGCTCGTTACGTTGTCAAGGATGACTCTGGCTCTGAGCCTGATGTCTCCAGACGAAGTTAGACCAGAGTGCGCCCTGATCGTCGCGTCGTCGACACCTTTGACTGATGTTATATCGCCTTGCACGCTATTTGGTACATCTGTAGAACCATCGCAAACTTTGTCAGAGTATGGGTACCCCAGTCGCATCGTCTCCATCAGCAGTTACGATGTAAGCTGTAGCTATGTATGGACGTAAACAGTCACAGTCCCATCAAACCCAGAGCAAGTGTTGGCGCAGCTATCAGTACCATGCAGACTGCCACCGCACAGGTGTGCTTTACTCTAACTCAGCCGGTGATCACTGATCTAGCATGAACAACCAGACAATCGAGGAGCGCTTGAACGCGACGGTCCCAGTGCCCAACCCACAAACAATGGACATCAAGCACGCGATTGGAATAAAGCTTGCGATTTTCTCCTGCACAGAGCCTGACCTGATTCACACTCCCGAAGTCCGCTCTGAACCAACGTGCAACCGAGCCAATACTACGACGCCACTAGCATGACTGGAAACGATATCAAAGGGAAGTTCCAACGAAGGTCAGCAAGCCAGAAGGAACGTGCGGATGAAGTGACTCAGTTTGTGGGAAAGTTGGCCAACCAGAAGGAGGAGTTGGACAGAATGGTTGCCCAGGGTCTCTTAGACATCAAATCAGAGAACATCTACGTAAGGTATGCTTCCCGAATGCATTACCACGATCTAACTTACAACAAAGGCCAACGTGACCAGTCTCGACGATATTGGGCCCCTGGGTTCCTTTGAGGAGTGGACGATGAAACTAAATAACCAGTCTTCCGCCGCCCCAGAGGGTACCACTGCGCTAGTTCATATAACCGTTCCACCAGCCAGGAAGGCGCGGGCCGCCTCGGTCCTCCTCCAAGAGGCTATTACCGAATTGAAAAGACTACCCAAGTACACCGACTCCATTTTGAAGAATGAAGAGTTGGAAATCACGCAACGTTACGAGATGCTGGTAGCAGCAGATGATTGGTACGGCAGCATGCTAATCCAGGCGGCTGAGCTTTATCTGGAGCCAGCGGAGAGAACAATCAGTTCCTTCATCGACGCATACAAAGAGCAAGGAAAGGACCTTGATCAAGAACTCCTGCAGGAATTCGACAACCAAAGTCCCGAGCAGAAGATACAGATGATGTTGGATCACCGGGTCGCTACTTTCGCAACCACTGCCGATAATCGCGAGATATCAACCTTTCGCAAAAATGTCCTCATGCTGCTCATGTTTACACAAAGCAGATGGAAGTCAGAAATGGAAGACTGCCTTAAGGAGCTTCGTGGTGTTCTCCCTTTAACTGAGACGATCTAGTCAGGGACGGAGCGAATCGCGGAGGGAATGCCTTGCGCTGCCTTTCGTGTGTTAACGTACAATGAATTGAGAGATCGTTGAGTCAATCGAAGATGACGGATTTAGTGGGTTGATACGAGGTTGCCGCATACAAAGCATCAGATGTCAACAAGTGAGTGATGTTTGAGACAACGTATGCTTCAGGCCTAAAAT